AATAAAACATGAGGTTAATATGTATTTCTAGATACGCCGACTATTGTAGAATTGCATTCTCTAATATGTGATGTTCCATCTTTTGTAGGTCTGTTAATGGAATGAAGTTGTTACAAAGTCACGTGGTTCTCCTCCTCTCCTGCGGTATGTATTATGTGCGGCTAGAGTTTCCTTTTATTCCCTTCTGTTCACCTGTATACTTGGGCCTAATGCATGTGTGTTGTGCACCAGCTACTAGCAGAACAGGCTGGGTCTTGTCACATGACAGTGGCCTCTTATAGAGGGAGCTGGGGAGTATAGGAGGTAAGCATTTGTTTCCAATGCTCCATGGCTCCCTCTAGTGGCCGCAATGCGCTGTTACATTACAATACATTTGATCTGACAAGAAAATACAATATAGCGGAGAACATTCGTTTTGTGTCTGTTTATACAGAAGGAACGTTCATAAAGATTGGTGGGGCAAATGGCTCTGCGAATTGGTTATAAATGGATCCCTATGTCAGGTCCATGACCAAGTGTCCGACTTTTCAAAGGGGGTGACACCAAAATGGTGCAGGTCACACCTCCCTTGTTACCCCACTTTGACTTGTTTGTACAAAGTACAGGTTCGCTTTAGGCTGATAGGGGGATCTGACCACACGGCTAAGTTTAGAATTGTAGAATTGGCAACCAGAGGCCAGGGTTTGCTTTTTATTTTTTTCTTTATTATTTTTTAACTTTTTTTTACTTTTTTTTTTAATTTGTATTTTATTACTTTTTTAATTTCTTTTTTTTTTTTTACTTATTTTTTTAATTTGTATTTTATTACTTTTTTAATTTCTTTTTTTTTTTTTACTTATTTTTTTAATTTGTATTTTATTACTTTTTTAATTTCTTTTTTTTTTTTTACTTTTTTTTTAAACTTTATATCAGTTTTAATGTTTTACATTTAGCCCTGCTTGCCCGAAGCAAGGCTAAATGTAGAACAAAAAACAAAACAAAAACTACCCACCCATTGGCTGCACTGCCCCTCTACTCCATGCTGCCCCAAGGCCCAGGCCTCGGTGGCCTTGTGGGAAATCCGGCCCTGCCCCCCCCCTCATGTATTATCCTCCCACATACTATATTCCCTCTCCTATGCTTACTCTATGGCACATGGTGGTTCTATCATGAGATGAATATTCTGTGGTCTTTGCTCTTATATCCTCAATCTATCTACTTGTACGTGTTACTATGACTCTGGTTACATTGTATGTAACTATTTATCATCTGTATACTGCACTTCCTCTCTCCTATTACAAGATGTTTATTTCTATCTCTCCATACTTTACATTATTATATTAAAATCCCCCTCCCCCTCTCTCCTTCTTCTGCTTGTGTTTTGTTGTTGATGATATTGCTATGCTTTTCTGTTTTGGTGGTTGTTGTAACATATATATATATGGGTTGTGGAAAAAAAAGTGTTTAAACGTGGAGACATGAAAGAGAAAATGACTGGCGATAGAACCATAGAGTTAGGTATAGGGCACATATGTGGTGTGTATGTGAAGCATATTGGATGTCTCAACAACTGTTAAATGTTCATTAAATTATAAAATAAAGATTAAATATTTAAAAAATATATTAAAATCAATAAACAATAGAAACAGAAATGTAGCACTTGGAGGCCTTTTTGCTGCTTTTTTGTTTCTTTTGAGTTTGCCCAAAATTGCGACATCTGAAGGTCCCCCGAAGGTCCGGATTTGACATCTTCTGTGACATTCCGCAGAATACAGCGGCAGGGAATGTGCCTTCAATCTGATGATAAACATGTCGGGGGTCGGTCAGGAGAGTCTCCATGTTACGAGGAGAATCTAAAAAACTCCTCCGTGTGACCCGGGTCATGTGACGTGACTGCCATCTGCCTACAATTGATTGTTTCCTGCCATCCACAGCGAGATTATCTGTACAGCGCACAGCCGGGGCCCCCCCGGACGGCAGTCCAAGTCCTTACAGCGGGCCCCCGATGTACGCTGTACCAGAGATGGCGGATATAAGGGATGGAGTGTCATAAAAATACAAAGCCGATGTTTGTACAGAAAGTCCATCAATGTGACCAATCGTATTGTGATTCTTTGTATACAGCGTTGCCATGCCTGGGGGTGCAGGATCTCCACGTCAGTCCCGAAATAAGAGGGAAAATCTCCACAGCGGCTCAAAGTAAGGAACTCTCTATAACAGACCTTCCTCCGTATTGAAGTCATGTCCTCATGTTACCCCTGGGAAGTTGGTACACGGGAGGATTTGCCCCGTGCATGTCTGCACAGAGGGTCACCAGAGGAGATCTCCATGTAATGAAGCTTTGATTGGTTGTAAAGGAGCTTTTATAGCTCACCAATGATCTCTTCTCTGATCTGCTCCCTTATAGAATACTGAAAGCATTTTGCCCTTTTCAATAAATACAAAAAATACCTGTTGATCCTGCCAGGAATTTTGCAAGCTGATAACTTCCTGTGCATCACTCTTACCAGTTACATTGTTCCCAGCACACCCTGTGGACTGCAGACTCTCCCCATGCTATGGAGAGGTGTTCTGTAGTCCTCTGCCGGAGCACAATTAGGAGACAGAGCATTGTCACCCTAGAACAGGAAGTGCCTGAACAACGACAGAGCACATAGTCACCCTATAACAGGAAGTGCCTGAACAAGGACCTCTATGGCAGGATCACCAGAGCTGATATTAATAAAAGCTGCAGATCTTTAGGACTGAATCAACTCATTGAACTAATCGATAATGAATATCATTGTCAACAATTCTCATTATCGATTAATGATTCTGCACTGGGGATGCGCCAATATAGGTATCGGTGCCGATACTGGGCATTTTCACCAGTAATGTATTGCTGGGATTTGTAGTCCGCTATAGCGGATGGTATTATTCTGCATTGCTGTATAATGTATTGCTGGGATTTGTAGTCCTCTATAGCTGATGATATTATTCTGTATTGCTGGGATTTGTAGTCCTCTATAGCTGGTGCTATTCTGCATTGCTGTATAATGTATTGCTGGGATTTGTAGTCCTCTATAGCTGATGGTATTATTCTGCATTGCTGTATAATGTATTGCTGGGATTTGTAGTCCTCTATAGCTGATGGTATTATTCTGCATTGCTGTATGATGTATTGCTGGGATTTGTAGTCCTCTATAGCTGATGGTATTATTCTGCATTGCTGTATGATGTATTGCTGGGATTTGTAGTCCTCTATAGCTGATGGTATTATTCTGCATTGCTGTATAATGTATTGCTGGGATTTGTAGTCCCTCTACAGCTTAGAGTCAGTGGAAGAACCGCATGCACATTTTTTTTGTTTTTTTAATCCAATTAATCGGTTAAAAAAAATTCAGCCAACTAATCGATTATGGAAATAATTGTTAGTTGCAGCCCTACAGATCCTAAAACATTTTAAGCAACTTTTGAAATGACATCTTAAAACGTATATTGGATTTCGTTGATTTGGTTTTACATCTGTTGAGCGGATTGTATTTACTGACATTGGTGAGATACAGAACAGGTCAGACCGGTCCTGCGGTCAGAGTAGTCCCGGGACGTTCTTAATCCCCGTCTGCCTGTGTGTACATTGGGGGGTCTCGGACTCGGTGTGCGGAGGACAATGCTCTGAGTCATCTTCTGGTGGTGATGATGGCAGACATGTTGGTACAGGAGCCGTGACACAGCGCTGAGTCATGTGACTTCCCAAGCCATGATGACTCTATTTTGTGGTTTGGCCTAACTCAGCAAACAAGAGGTTAAGCACTGCCTAAGAGCTGCAATGGGTTTCTAATTTGTTTCTAATATATCAGGCCTATGGGTCCGCTTAGGGATGAGCAGCTGCTTAGAGCATTGCAAAGAGTTCCTCAGATGTCTGTAGCCCCACAATTGACCCCCCCCCTTCCCCACCCCCATGCCCAACCACCTCTGAGAACTACCCAGTTATTCTTGCTCCATGGAGTGTATTGGACCTCCATAAGAATGTCCCGCCATTCATGCACATGCTCCCCGTTATGCCCTAAAGGCCCTTCAGGGTCTCAGCCACACGTTCTGGAGGCGCCCAAAGTCCGTTCTCTACTGGCAGGATGTGTTTGATATTAATGATCGTTCTTCCATCATCAGTGCTCCCTTTAGCCAATGATGGGTATCCTGGGTCCTCCTTTTTGGAAGACCCTTACCTGGAATTACCAATAATTGCACCCCGATTATTGGTAATTTCAGGTAAGGGTCTTCAAAAAGGAGGACCCAGGATACCCACCTTTTGGCTGAAGGGAGCACTGAAGATGGAAGAACGATTATTAATATCAAACACATCCTTCTTGGCCAGGAAAACAACACCATCTCCCCAACCCGCTTCCCCGCTGGTCTGTCCAGACTCCAGGAGAAAAGGAAATACCCGCTACTTTGGGGTCATGTGACTCCCTCCATCCATGTGACAGCACTGGTACTTGGGGATTGGCAACAAGACGGTCTTCCTTCCATTGGCTTAACGGAGCAGCAGGAGAGCAAAGAGAGGTGAGTATGGGCAGCTGGGGAGGGGAGGGGAAAGCACGGGTAGAGCCAGGGCCGGATTATTAGGCACATGCCTACATGTGCCCTCCATAGAGCGGCGCTGTGCCGATACCGACTCAAGATACAACATCTGCAATAGCGAGGGGGGTGCATTCTGCACAAAATTTACCCATCTGCAGCCCCTACAGGACCCGCCGGCTTCCTCAGACCAGGGGAAGGACCCCGTCGCTGCGTAAGGCTGCCCTGTACAACATCTGTTTGATGCGGACAGGCGTTTAGGGCAGCCTGACGCGACCCCGGAGTCCTTCTCTGCATATGTGAAAGCCGGCGGGTCCCGCAGCAGGCAAAGGCGCCGGCTAAACCAATTCCCATTCGTGCCCACAGGCGCCCGAAATGGAAACCCGGCCCTGGGTGGAGCGGAGGAGGAGGCGGCTATGAAGGTAATTAATAAAGATGCATAAATTGGGTGCAACCGGAACACAAACACGAGACAAAAATGTACAAAAACACCGATTTCTGTAAATCTGATAAATATATATAAATAAGTTTTTATTTCAACCTTCAGCGATTGTTTCCTGACTCTGTCTCACGTCTTCCAGGGATGTTCTGTTCGGCCCCTCTGGACATCCTTTTTCTCCTCGATGGCTCTAATAGTATCGGGAAAGGAAGCTTTGAGCGCTCCAAGCACTTTGCGGTGAAGCTGTGTGACGCGCTGGATATCGGTGCGGACAGGGTCAGTACCATACGTGTTCCTTGTCCGATGGGTTTCCTGATACTAACAGGCTGTAGAGTCTGTATACAAAATCGTGTGTTTTGCTGTAAACTGCTGACGCTGCATTGCCGTCTTATGTCCTCATTGTATCCTGATATCAGCAGTTAGAGGACACACAGGGAGGTGTCCATAGCAGACACACAAACTGCTGCAGGGGGGGGTCTTACCATTGTGGGAGGGGCAGAGACACAGACTACTGGAGGAAATCTCACCATTGTGGGAGGGGCAGAGACACAAACTACCGGAGGAAATCTCACCATTGTGGGAGGGGCAGAGACACAAACTACTGGAGGGAATCTCACCATTGTGGGAGGGGCAAAGACACAAGCTACTGGGGGAAATCTCACCATTGTGGGAGGGGCAGAGACACAAACTACTGGAGGGAAATCTCACTATTGTGGGAGGGGCAGAGACACAAACTACTGGGGGAAATCTCACCATTGTGGGAGGGGCAGAGACACAAACTACTGGGGGAAATCTCACCATTGTGGGAGGGGCAGAGACACAAACTACTGGAGGAAATCTCACCATTGTGGGAGGAGCAGAGACACAAACTACTGGAGGAAATCTCACCATTGTGGGAGGGGCAGAGACACAAGCTACTGGGGGAAATCTCACCATTGTGGGAGGAGCAGAGACACAAACTACTGGAGGTAATCTCACCATTGTGGGAGGAGCAGAGACACAAAGTACTCAGCATTGGGGTCTTATAGGGTGAATATCTGCCATCAGCATCCACAAATACTCTGTGGAAAGATTTACTCTCCGTGATCTCTGTTGTTGTTATTGTCTTTGCTTGCCGTAAGCTTATCGTTAGCTGTTCATGTAATATTGACGTTGAAAGATTGAAATGCGCAGTGTGACATGTACAGAAGCTTTACCCAGAGAATTAAAATTCCTCTGATAATCCAGCAAAGTGCTGAAGATCAGACGTCTGAGAGGCCACTCCTCCGAGCAATGAGAATAAAGGGTCCTCTGATTATTTTTTGGAGTATTGGATAAAGTCGCATTTTACAGGTGCTGCCAATTCTTTATGCCGGGACTGATCCATATGAGCGATGTCTGTACGTACGCAGCTACAGCAGATTGAATACACCAAAGAGGGCCTGTCGCAGTCTCACAGGATACTGAGATTCAGTTGTCAGTGTCTTAAATACTTCAAGGGAACCTTCACTCTGAAAAATGATAACTTTGCTCCCCTTAAACCTTAAAGGAGAACTATGAGGGGGGGGAGTGCTTTTCACCTGTAACAATGAGACTGTCACAGGTCGGCTCAGTAGATCGGGAAGTGAGCAAACACATACCGGCGTTCGCTCACCTCTCGATCCTGTCACGGCTCTCTGCCGTGACAGGGGAGGGGCTGGATTCCCCTCTCCCCGCTCCGATCCTCCAGCGCTGACTGGTGGAACGGACGGGGGAGGAGGCGGGTACAGCTGGCTCTGCCTCTAGATAGGGAGAGCCAGCTGTCACTCACGCCGCTGGGCGGATCCAGACATAATTGTCTCAATTGTTGACGTCTCAGTATCGTGGTATACTGAGCCTAGGGTGACGGGAGGACGCTAGTTTGTGTCCTCCCGTTACCCTAAGGAGAGTTATGGGGAAAAGCCCTGACCCCGTAGTTCTCCTTTAAAAATACATTCAAGTCCCTGAACTCTGAACAACAATGTATCTTATTTGTGTATCACTCGGCTGTAGATCCTCCAATCATCTCTGACACTGTCCTCCCTTATGGAGGGAAGGGATCTCATGTTTAGTTTATAATTTGTATTGAGATTGTAGTCCATCCCGGGGGGGGCAGAGCTTGGAGCGGTGACTACTTTACCACACACACAGGGACCATGGGGAACAGACGTAGCCCCCCTCCAGAAGGAAGGACAGTGTCAGAGATGATTGGAGGATCTACAGCCGAGTGATACACAAATAAGATACATTGTTGTTCAGAGTTCAAGGACTTGAGTGTATTTCTAAGATTGAACTCCGGAGTTTAGTGTCACTTTAAGCATTAAAGTCACAATCGTTACATAGTATCAGGAGTATATAGTATTTGGTTTATATGGAATTCTGGTTCTGGTTTGGTAGGTATATCACATCCCCCTACAGTCGCCGGTAATATCTGTCCTGATTAGTAAAGCACATTCATCATCATGGACACATTCACCCCTTCAAAGAAGATTCACCAACTGTAACATTCTCCTGATTTGTAAATGGTCCATTGTTACGTCATTCGTGAAGGTTCACCTGTTCCCACCATTCAGATCTGATACCTTATTCAATAGATTGTGGCTGTTTTTTCTTCTGTGCAGGTGAGAGTGGGGTTCATTCAGTACAGCGCCACGCCACAGGTAGAGTTCCGCCTTGATTTGTTCTTTACTAAAGAAGACCTTCAGGAGAAGATAAAGGCCGCTGTTCTCAAGTAAGTTCCCTTCTGCGCTGGTTTTATGATCATTTAGTCTCTTCTGAAATGGCGGATGGTGAATTCCTCAACTTATCAGACGTTGTCTGTAGCAACTTCAGGGGGACAGTCCACTTCTTGCCTGATCTGCCAGAATTCAAGCCGTGGGTGGCGCCGTCATAACTGGCACCACAAAAGTTAATTGAAAAATTGAAGGAGCCGGGTGGAAATTTGTGAGCGGAACTTTTTAGATTCAGTCACTGCTCAGGTAATCAGACAGCTGTGAATACTAAATACAAGAGCCGGAACTGAACATTTGTGTAGTTTTGTTTTGTTTTTTTGTATAGTTTTGGATGGCGTGGGAAGGGGTTACACTACCTGTCAGGTTTCTATTTCTGTCAATTTGTCCTGGAGATCATTATCACTGAGACAAAATCCTCCACGGTGGACACTTGTTCTTATGACAACTCTCTAAGATGCGGATTCTGTTCACTATGGAGAGATTTCCTCTCATTTCCCTTTGAGTGTCTCCTGAACAGGAAGTGAAGGGAAATCTCCCCAGCAGGACTTTTAAAGGCCAGGGGCTGCATGCAGGGCAGCCGTCAGAAATTTTGGGGCCCCTTACACGGCTTTAGGCCGGCATAGTGACGCGCTGGACACAGGACCCACCTGAGAGTGACCCTGCAGAGCCCACCATAGATGCTGCACAGCCCATCTGAGACTGTCTATGGTGGGCTCTGAAGGGGTCTCAGGTGGGCTGGTCAGGGCTGCATCCCTCCCCTCCCTCCTTTTCCTTCCTAGCTCCTCTTACCTGCACACATGGCCTCGTGTGCCGCCGGACAGGCCAGAAGTGACGTCACGTCACTAACGTGACGTCACTTCCGGCCAGTCCGGCTTCAAACGAGCAGCGCCGCTGATGGGGCCCTAGCTTATCTCGAAGCCGCTGGAGCGGCAATGCTGGGGCCCTGCGCTGCTAGGGCCAGGTCTCCGCCTCCTCGCCCTTTACTGTCATAGTTACATAGTTACATAGTATTTGAGGTTGAATAAAGACATTAGTCCATCAAGTCCAACCTGTCCAAGCTGTCGGCCAATAGTCATGTAAGGGACCCGGGCGGGGCCCCACAGGCTGCCTGGGTCCCTTACATGAGTATTGGCTGTGCCCCCCTGATGGCTGCCCTGGCTGCATGTCATGTAAAGCCTCATTGAGCCGTGTTCCTGTCATACATCTAATACTACAGAGGAGTTCTATTATCATTAATACTTTCCATCTCTCCTATATTCCCTCTGTCTCTCCTCCTTGTACACACACTGTCTCTCTTCCTCTCTCTCTTCCTCTCCCCATCCTAGAGGAGGCAGCACAGAAACTGGCCTGGCTTTGAAGTACATTCTCCGTAAGGGCTTTCCTGGAGGTCGGGACTCTTCGGTGCCAAAAGTTCTCATTATCCTGTCAGATGGCAAGTCTCAGGGAAGTCTTGGTGGTCCGGCAGCTCAGATAAAGGAGAGCGGCATTGAGGTGTTTGCTATTGGAGTCAAGTTTCCAAGGTGAGGATGTTACAATTGTATCAAGACTTGGGTTCTTGTCCTGTCACTTTGTACTTGAGACATTCCCTCGTGTCCCAGCTTGTGTGGATGGAGCATGTGTGTATGTATAGATGTGTGGATGGAGCATGTGTGTACGTATAGATGTGTGGATGGAGCACGTGTGTACGTATAGATGTATGTGTGTACGTATAGATGTGTGGATGGAGCACGTGTGTACGTATAGATGTGTGGATGGAGCATGTGTGTACGTATAGATGTGTGGATGGAGCACGTGTGTACGTAATAGATGTGTGGATGGAGCACGTGTGTACGTATAGATACGTATGTGTGCTTGCAACAACATTTTTGTTTTGTCAGGTCAGTTCTGGTCTTTGTCTTGGAGCCCAGAGGCTTTGTAGATCTTTAGGTGGGATAAAACCTCAGTTCCTGGTCCATATCTTACCTGGGAGCCCCAGACCTCATTATTAGGCCTGATTTCCCACAAGGCCTGGCCCCGGGGCAGCAGGGATGTGGAATTCCTATCTCCCGGGGGTAGTTATTTTCTACATTTAGCCCTGCTTTGGGCAAGTGGAGCTAAATGAAGAGCGGGGAAGCCGTTGCTTGTTTTGTACAAAATTGTAATCCCCCGAAAATAAGACCTAGTGTGTGTTTTTGAGCCCCAAAAAATATAAGACAGTGTCTCATTTTCGGGGGAAACACGGTATATATATATATACATCTGGTCCTCTGTTTCCCTCCACAGGTGGGCGGAGCTTCACTCCCTGGCTACGGAGCCGGTGGAAGAACATGTATTCTTTGCGGAACACGTGGATGATGCTGTGAACGGCTTGTGCAGCTCTCTGAGTAATTCGTCTGCGTGCGGCGCAGTTCCCGCAGGTAAATCCCTCCGCGCGATTCCCTCCCTGGCCCCCCCCTGGATGGGACCTATTTGTGAAAACTACTGTGGGGACAATGACTTGTGTATATTGGAAAACGTGGATGAGAGCAACACGATGCGTTTCAGTTAGTCAGTTAGATCTACCCCATCCTATAGTCTAATCCCGTCCT